CCGGGGCCGCCCCGGGGTGCGCGAGGAGGCCGTGGGGGCCCTCACCGCGGTCGCGCGAGGGAGCGCGGCGGTCGCGCGATGCCTCGCCGTGGAGGCGGGCGCCCTCCACGCCGGGTTCGCCCTCGCCCGGACGATTCTCCGTGAGAAGGGCGGTGGGGAATCCGCGGTGTTTCTCGAGGTCATGCAGCTGCTCCGACGGTTGAGTGCGGGGTGGGTAGGAGGAGGAGGAGGGGGGGGGGTTCGCGACGATCGCGAGCGGTTGCGAGCGATGGCGATCGGTGAGTTGCAGCGGTTGCGGGAGGCGGCGACGGTCGCCGAGCTTTCCGCGCGCGCCCCTCTTGAGGAGATGGCCGCCTTGCAGAGGATCTGGGATCGCGTCGGGGAGGAAACCACACGACGGAAACGCGGACGAGAGGAAGGTGAGGAAAAACAGGATAGGGAAGGGCGTTTTCGGTCGCCGCCCGAGGAATCGAAAACGAGTGCGTAGGCGTGGCTACGCAATGGTGAGATTGCGTCTGAATGCGCAGGGTATGGGTGCGGCGGTTGGGGGGATGGTCGAGATCTCCATTAGTTGGTTTGATTAAATGGTCGATTAACCATAAATTTATAAATATTCAGTAATCGTATAAACAGTCCTGAGCTAGGAAACCTAAAAAAAAAGCATAGTAAGTAAACAGTGAGGGACTAGATCATACGCAACGAGGAGGCTTCAGAATACGCCTGGGTTGAAGATTTCCGCGCGATATATCCATTAACGCGCATGGTGGTTGCTATCGAGCTTCCTTGGTTGAACCGATGATCGTCTCTATTCTTCTCCGATCTAGACTACCTTATGTATGGGTGTGAGAAATCGCATTTCATCGCATGCTTCCCTTTTCCTCCCGTGTGTGTTGTTTGTCTACGTTTTGTAGTAAAACCCGGTGGTTGCTGCTTTTTCTCCTATAGCAGCATTATATATACATATACATATATACATATATATACATATATATATATATATATATATGTATCGACCTATATATTTTCCCATATATCTTTAGACCGCTTCTCATTGTTATAGAATAGAAAAACAATTATTCACCCTATTAGTCTTGGTGGCCGTTGAATGGACTGCCATTGCGGACGTACCGCGCGAAATATCATCAGTCGTGAGGGGAAATCGCTTTATGTTTGTTCGCTCGGTCGCTGCCGTTTCTACGCGCTTGCCCCTGTGCAGTGTGAGGGCTACCATCGCATCCTCGTGAACCCCACCACCCCGTCGGATGTCCGGATCGTTCGTTTCGAGGCGTTATTGCATCCGGAGGAAACCGACGCGAATCGCGCCGGGGCGATCGCGGATTCCACCCTCGCCGTCATGGCGACGGTGGAGGGCGACATCGACGGCGACGCGGCGTTGGCGGCGGTCCTCGAGGACGACGACTTCACCCCGTTGTGGTATTCCACCCGCGAGGCGTACCTCTACCCCATGCGATGCTACGACGCCCTCGTTTCGCGGTTGCGTTCCCTCCCACGGGTGCTCGTGGAGGAGATCCCCGGGTTTTTCTTTCGGACCTTTCAGAAGATTCGAGAATCGATTGACTTTCAGGTCGGGGAGCTCACCCGCGGCGCCGCCCGCGCGATCGACCCCGAGGATCTCGTCTACACCCAATTAAAAGGGTTTCAACGGACAGGGGTGGAGTTTGTCATTTCCCGCGGCGGGCGGGCGATGCTCGCGGATGAGATGGGGCTCGGCAAAACGATCCAGGCGATTGCGATCGCGCATCATTATCGCGAGGAGTGGCCGGTCCTCGTCGCCTGCCCGATGTCGTTGACGGAGAATTGGTTGAAGGAGTTCAACCGCTTTTGTGGAATCCCCTTCGCGCGGATGATCGCCCTGCAAGGGGGTGGGGGAACGAAACCCCACCACATCACCCCACTCCATGACGTCGTGGTGGTTTCCTATGCGCTTTTAAAAGCGGTGGAGGGGCTCTCGTTTGGGGTGGTGATTTTGGATGAATCGCATTACATCAAAACGGGCGCGACGAAACGCGCGCAGCTCGCGTTGCGGTTTTGCAAGGCGGCGAAACGGGTGGTGTTGCTTTCGGGCACACCAGCGATGTCGAGGCCGATGGAGCTCTACGCGCAGCTCCAGGCGATTCACCCGGGGCTCGTTCCGACGAAATCGCAATACGGCGCGCGCTACTGCAACGCCTTTGTGAGTCGTTTTGGCATCGACGCGAACGGGCATTCCCACCCTGACGAGCTCCACCTTCTTCTCCGCGGGTTTTTAATTCGCCGGATGAAACAAGAAATCGGCGAGGCGGAGTTGCCGGAGAAAACCCGCCAGCTCCTTTACGTCTGCATCACCCCGAAGGAGCGGAAGGCGTTGGAAGGGCAGGTCCTCGCGCTTCGCCGCTCCATCGCCGCGGACGGTGGGGCTTCCTCTTCGTCGACCGCGCCGAACCCCTCGGGCGACCTTGCGATTCGCGCGCCGAACGCGTTTGAGTTGAAAATCGCCACCGCCCGGGCGAAGATCCCGGCGGTGCAGGATTACGTCGGGAGTGTGGTCGAGCAGCATCTCGACCAGGGGGATAAAATCATCCTCTTCGCGCATCACCAATGCATGATGGAGGCGATTCGGGCCGCCGTGGAAGCGGTGCGGCCGTCACGTCCGGTGGATTTCATTTTCATCTCCGGCGAGACCCCCCCTTCGCAGCGGGAGCGGCTGATCGATCACTTCCGCGACGAACCCACCTGCGCGGTGGCGATTTTGTCGATGCGATCGAGCGGGACGGGGCTGAACCTGACCTGCGCCCGCGTCGTGATTTTCGCGGAGCTGGATTGGAACCCGAGCACGCATCTGCAGTGCGAGGATCGCGTGCATCGCCTCGGGCAAGGGAGCCCGTGCACGATTAAATACCTCCTCGCGGAGGGCACCTCCGACGGCGTCATTTGGCCCCTCCTCCAGGCGAAATTAACGATCACCAACGCGCTGCTCGACCACCGCGCGGGCGCGACGCCGCCACGGCCGCTCGCCGCGGATCGCCAGACGATCGCCCGCCGCGATGCCGCCCTCGCAGGGGGGAAAAGGGG